GGGACGAGGTACGTGTGCGTGACGGGACGAGGCAGACGGGGATGGACTACAGCGATATGGTGGGAGTGCGGCGCGTTTCTGCTAGGCCATTCGATGCCGTCCGATGGAATCTGTTGACAACCAAAAGTGGTCAAAGTTTATAATGGACTCCATCATAATGTATCTATCATCAAAATGGTTAGAAAACATATTTGCATCATCTTATTTGGAGCCTAGAGACAACGATTCGGGGGTGCTGGCTCAGCCGGAACTGGCCTGGCCGGTTCCTAAACTGACCAGGCCGGTTTGGGCAAGTTCTTTGTTGACGGTAGTTATCGTACAAATTTAACCGTCAATTAAACATGAAAAGGGGTATAAAAGGAATCACCAAGATAGAATAGGGGTTAAACTGACATAATTCTATGAGTTTTGGTGAATCTATGTTTTGCAGGGAGTAAACAGGAAAAGAGCCAAAGATGACCCACATGTCGGACTAAAAAGCATATTCTACACGAGAACCAAGTCGAGAAGATTCTAGAGAACATGAGAAGGTGACCCATCGAAGGGAGGCACCTGGCACTAGGCTAGGTCGGCCGACCCCACCCCAGGTTGGCCGACCTGGGGCCCACCTGCCAGCCTCCAGCTTCTACGTCGGTTCCTCATCCGCCTTAGGGTTTGCATATTCACCGTTGATCAAGGTCGGTTTAATCCGAGGGCTCTGATTCCTCCCACCAGCCTATATAAGCTGGACCCTACCCCCTGAGTCAGAGCATCCTCATCCTGGGCAGAAACCCTAATCCTCCCCTAGTATCAAGAAACCCTAGATAGGATCAAGAGCCAAGCATTCAAGAGAAGATTAGTCTTGTAGTCTTCCAAAGATTAGGACTAGTCTTATTTAGAAATAAAGAGATAGAGTGAGAGGAAAGAGTTTGGAGGAGTGGCCGGCTTGTCGGTGGCTTCTCTATAGCTTGTACCTATGGTATCAAGTTCCTTTGGAGCTTGCTTCTGAGATTTCTCTGGTGTTCAACTTCTAATTCAAGTAAGTAACATTGTTATTAATGTTCTTCCGGTTTGTGACTCTTTTGAGTACTTTAATCTTGGTAGCTCCTTGATTGAAGTAGTATTTTTAGTGTAAGTGTGGTGTTTAGACTCGGATACTCATAGATGCACCCTACCTTCCAGATCGGTGGTAGCTCGCGAGGGTGACTTTATAGCCTCGTTGAATCTTCCATAGTCCACCTCTCGTTTGTAGGACGAGTAGGACCTGTTTGCTAAGGAAAACATCCTCAGCTGGTGTCTTTTCTTAAGTAATGTCCCCATTGGAACAATCATAAACATAGCTTGCGAAGGTTAGAACTAGAGACCTTAGTGATCTTCTCTATATCCCTATTAGCTCCGTCCTTGTTGCTTCTTAGGGGTTAAGCATAGACATAGTTTCTCACATGTTTTCCCTATGGTAAAATATAAATAACGATACTCTGGAATACTCTCGGGTGAAGTGCTACATCAGTATCCGTGCGCTTGCGGATCATTCTTAGTAATTATTCTGTGTGCGTTAACAAATACCAACAAGCATTTCTAGGGCCGTTGCCGGGGAAAACGGTTGCTGAGATAACTTCGAACCTAGCTTAACCTTGTATTATACTTTTATCCTTTTTATTCCTTTTTTAGATTTTTTCTTTTCATCCTTATGGATGCCATAGATTTCACACCCATATACCAATATGCTGCACCCACGAGCACTAGTCATAGGCCAAATGAGTCATCAAAGTCTATCCTAACACCTGCCTATGAGCTACACCCGTGTTTGGTTGCAATGGTCCAGAACTAATCATTTTTCAAGAAAGGTAGACGAAAATCCTTACCTTCATCTACAAGAGTTTGAGCAGACCTATGACTGGCTCTGCATAGAGGGCATGTCCGATGAGACCTTACGGTGGAAGCTTTTTCCTTTCTCTTTGGAGGGAAGAGCTAAAAAATGGTATAATCGAACCATAGGAAAAAAGCAGGGAGACTAGGGTACTTTACGTTCTAACTTTTGCTTAGACTTCTTTCCCATCTCTAAAGTAGTCAGCCTTAGAGCCAATGTCCTATCTTTTAAACAAGAAGATAATGAATCTCTAGCCACATCCTAGGAACGTTTTAACTCTCTTATAGATTCTGGTCTAGATCTAGCCTTATAAGACCCCATTCTTCTTCAACACTTCTACATGGGTCTTAAAAAGAAAACCTCAAAGTTTCTTAACGTAGCTTCAGGAGGATCATTCTTGCACATTTCGGCCATGAAAGCAAGAAAAATCTTAGACAAAATTATAGCAGATAAACCTAAAGAACCACCGGAAGAGAATCCTTTAGAGGAAGAATCTAAGATAGCTGAACCTGAACTTTTGCCATATCCACCACAAACCTTAGCTGTCCCAATTTCTGAGCCACCAAAAAGGAGGAAGCTCCAATTTTGGATTTCATGCTTGTTTCCAAGGATGAACTTTTTACCGAATATGGAAATACCTCAAATTACTACTCAGTAAGGAAGCCCGAGGAGCCGAAGAAATCATCACTCCAAGAAGAACTTCTAAACCCTTCTGAGGAAGGTTTCCTTAAAAGGACTACGAAAGAGTTAGTATCCATCATAAGCAATGAGTGGTTAAAAGAATCAGAGCTTTCCTCTGATGTGATCCGCTTGGATTCACCTTCGATCTTAATCCATTGTCAAATTCATAAAGACTCTATTGAAGCCCTTTATAATCCAGTTATGGGTGTTAATATCATGTCTGCATCATTTGCTCATGATGTATTAAAGCACATGCCATTAACCCCAACAAAAAAACTATTGAAAAGCCCTTCAGGACACATTGTCCCGAGTTTGAGAATTTTGTATGTGCTCCCTATCCAGGTAAAAGGCACCATAGTTCATTTGAGCTTTTATATCTTTGATATAATGGAGTTTGATCTGTTGATAGGGCAACCAATTGAAAGGCTTATTCAAGAAGGACAAATAGAAAAATTAAATATTCATCTTGGGAAAAACTTCAAACTCCCTTTGTCCATCACTCATTCTTTAAATGCTAAGACTGAGCCATGTTCTGAGCCCCATCCAATTAAAGAGGATAAGGTAGCATCTCTTCATCACTTAATCGAACCCAACTTTGAAGAAGATGCTGAGTTCTTCATTGAGGAAGAAGACGATGGTCCACTAGAACCCGAACCTCTCGATGAATTGCTAGAGCCACCTAAACCTCCCATTGAGCTCAAACCTCTGCCTGCCTACCGGTCTTAAATATGCTTTTCTTAATAATAATTAGGAATCTCCTGTGATCATAAGTGATAAACTCTCTCAGGAAGAAACCCTTCGCTTGATAACTGTCTTAGAAAAGCATTGCTCAGCTTTTGGCTACTCACTACAAGACTTGAAAGGAATCAGTCCTACCCTTTGCACCCTTCGCATCCCTATAGATCCAGACATTATACATTCTAGGGAGCCCCAGCGTAGGCTTAATAATGCGATGCGAGAGGTAGTTAAGAAAGATGTCTTAAAACTCTTGCATGCTGGGATCATCTATCATGTGCCATACAGTGAGTGGGTAAGCCCTGTTCAAGTTGTGCCTAAAAGGGAGGCATGACTGTTGTTAAAAATGAGAAGAACGAATTAATCCCCCAAAGAACCATCACTGAATGGCGGATGTGCATAGATTATAGAAAGCTTAACAAGGCAACAAAGAAGGATCACTTCCCATTGCCCTTCATCGATGACATGTTAGAGCGACTAGCAAACCACTCTTTCTTCTGTTTTCTTGATGGGTATTCTGGATATCACCAAATCCCAATCCATCCCGATGACCAAAGCAAAACCACTTTCACATGTCCATATGGAACTTATGCTTATCGTAGAATGTCTTTTGGACTATGTAATGCTCCAGCTTCTTTCCAAAGATGTATGATGTCTATATTTTCTGATATGATTGAAGAAATCATGGAAGTTTTCATGGATGATTTTTCTATTTATGGAAAAACTTTTGATGATTGTCTTGAAAATTTAGACAAGGTTTTACAAAGATGTGAAGAAAAGCACTTAGTCCTTAATTGGGAAAAATGTCATTTCATGGTTAGAGAAGGAATAGTGCTTAGACAAATAGTGTCTGAAAAAGGAATTTAGGTAGACAGAGCTAAAATTAAAGCAATTGAACAATTACCTCCACCTGTAAATGTTAGAGGGATTAGAAGTTTCCTTGGCCATCACTACTAAAAAAGTCCACATCTAAGACGATTCACTTTTGTCATAGTAAAGGCCAATAACGTCATGGAAATATATCTATGATGAATTTATGATGAAATTCTGTTCGTCATCTTTATAGCGTCACAAATGTTGCACAGTGATGACTTGGCGTATTTCATCACAGATAAGGTTACATCCATGACGATTTTGCCCCCATCACTAAACTGTTTCAGCCGGCGTTGTAGTGAACACGTGTATGACGAAGAGGGCGACACGTGTATGATGATGAGGTTGACACGTTTATGATGGTGGAGGTTGACACGTGTTTGGTTTTCTGGTTGACACATGGCATTCTCTTGTGCATTTACGTGGCATCACATGAGCGATGACATGGCGGCACATGAGCGATGACATGGCGGCATGTGAGCAATGACGTGGCGGCATGTGAGCGATGACATTTTTTACATCATAGAATGGTGATTGGATATAATACACAGGCAATACCAATGTTGCTCGGCCTGAGCACTCCTCCAGAAACAGAACATAATTTCACACATCCAACAATTCATACATCATACAGAAATGTAGGTTCATACATCACAAGTTTAATATTCATACAACCAAAGTTCCCAAACATAGGGGAACCACAAGTTCATAGGTTCACATCACTAGAACCACAAGTTCACAAACAAACGACAGACCAGGCAAAGGTAGCAAATCACATAATAAGTTCACAAGCGACAACTGACAGACCAAGGTCAGCAACTTATTATGAGGACCAGCAGTACCAACACGGCCTAGTACAACTTCATGGAACTACAGAGGAACCTAGGCAGGACAGCAACAAGCTAAGTAGCTCAATTACCTGAGCTGAGGCCCAAGATGCGCTGAAGGATCAGATCACTAGCTTCTTGTTTCTTCTTAAACTCCTCCAGCTCTTGTTGGGTCCTGAGCACAACTTCTTGGGTCCTGGCCATTGATTCTTCTGTTTCTTCAGCTTTCTTCTTTAGGGTGTCTAGTTCTTCTTCAAGATGATCAGCCCATTCCTTCTCTGCTTGTAGCTGTTCTTGTAGGTGTGCTTCTCTTGTAGCTGATACAGCAGATTTGCTTACTGGTGTTTCAATACCAGCATTCTTGAGGAATGTAGAAGCTGCACTGGTTTGTGAGAGAACCTTCGAAACAATCTCAGTACTAGATCTTGGTGTCACGAAATCTTGAGCGGGCTGGGCCAACATATTTTCCATGGCAGTCTACAACAAACAGGTGCAAAAAGGATAAGTTCATTATACAGAATCCATTTCACAAGCCAAGATATGAAAATCATGTATGTAAACGTATTGCTGTATATATGTTTAAGTACATGAACATAGTTAACAATAACTTGCCATGTCACATCAGAGATAGGAATATCCTATCCATGTACTAATCCCATCCAGCAAGCATATAGGAACAACTTTTTTATTTCATAAGCACAGATAGGACCATCCAGCAAGCATATAGGAACAGTAACACCCTGCAAGCATATAGGAACATCTTTTCTATGTACTAATCCCATCACACACAACATATGATTGCATATATAGGTGTAAACATATGAGCAACTTTTCTATGTACTAATCCCCTCCAGCAAGCATGTAGGAACAACCTTCCATTTCATAAGCACAGATAGAACCATCGACACACAACATTTAAGCATATGAACATCCTTTTCCATGTACTAATCCCATCCATCAACTGTTTATGATCATAAATTGACATATATTCTCATCCCATCCAGCAATCATATGTTAGGGACATAGCCTCAACCATTGTATGTCTACAGGAGACAAAATTACAGAATGTGGACCAAGGCATAGTTCGACGTTCAATAGGCGCAAAGTTCATCAACAACTTTATGGTCCTGCCAGCTAATCAAACAAGGGGCGGCATCCTCCTAGCAGCAACGAGGATTATTTCTAGCTCTCTGACCAACACTTAGCCATGCATTCGGTGACGGCAACTTGCACCATGAGGGCAGACGAGACCAAATGGCAAATTACAGTGGTCTACGGTCCGCAGGGTGATGCCGAGAAGCTACAATTCCTGCAAGAGACCAAAGCAATCCCCAGACCGGCTCACGGGAGGTGGCTAATTCTTGGTGACTTTAACCTCATCTATCAGGCGGAGGATAAGAACAACACAAACCTGAACCGTCGTCTAATGGGAGCTTTCAAAGCGGCGATCGACGAGCTGAACCTTAAAGAGCTACAACTAAATGGATGCTGTTTCACCTGGAGTAATGAACAGGACTGGCCGACCCTTACTAGGATCGACAGGCTGTACTGCACCCCGGATTGGGAACTAGCTTTACCAACCTGTTTCCTCCATTGTCTGCTTTCACTCATGTCAGACCATACTCCGCTATTGCTGCAAGGTGAACCTGTGCACTACAGAAATCCTTCCTTTCGCTTTGAAAACTTCTAGGTGCAAGTGGATGGCTTCACTGAATTGGTACAGCAGATTTGGAACAGACCTGTACACTCTGCCCTACCCCTCAAGCGGCTTAACACAAAACTAGCCAGAGTGGCCATAGGTACCAAGAGATGGCGCAGACAAAAAATAGGGGACACACGGTTACAATTAGCCATCGTCAAAGAGGTGCTTCTACAGCTCGAAGCGGCGCAAGAAATTAGGACACTCACGCCCCAAGAAATTGTGCTTCGGCAGCGATTGAAAGCAAGAAGCACCGAGCTTGCCGCCATCGAAAAATCAAGGATAAAGCAACGTGCTAGACTGGCATATATCCGCAATGGTGACGCGAACACCAAGTTTTTCCATATCAGAGCTGGCACAAGGACGAGGAAAAATTATATACGTTGCCTGCACACCAACGGGGGAGTAGCCATTACTCACAATGACAAACAAAAGGTGTTAGAAGATTATTTCTCGGACCACCTACGTACAATGGTTCAAAGACCTAGGACCTTCGACTGGAATGCACTAGGCTATGTCCCAAGAGACTTGTCCATGCTTGAGGTTCCATTCACTCAAGATGAGATCAAGGAAACTATAAACTCCATGCCATCCGATAAAGCACCGGGACCCGATGGCTTCACAGGTGCCTTCTTAAAAAAATGTTTGGAAATAATCAAGGAAGACGTCACAAAAGCCATAAACAACATGTTCATGCTAAACTCCTAGGGCTTCGAACTCCTGAATTCGACCAATATTATCTTGCTTCCAAAAAAAGCGGACGCCATGCGGGTAACAGACTTCCGGCCGATTAGTCTCATTCATAGCTTTGTGAAGCTGTTCGCTAAGTTGCTTGCCAACAGGCTGGCCCCCTTGTTCGACTCCTTGGTCTCCAAATGCCAGAGTGCGTTCATCAAAAAAAGGAGCATCCACGACAACTTCCTCTACGTCCAGAACATAGTGCGGACCATGCAAAAGCAAAAATTGCTGGCCCTCTTCCTCAAGTTAGACATACACAAAGCTTTCGACACGGTAAGTTGGAGTTATCTTCTAGAGGTACTTCAGGCACTCGGTTTTGGAGCACGCTGGCGGGAATGGATCTCGATCCTCTTCCGCACCACTTCCTCAAGGGTCCTTCTAAATGGTCAGTCGGGCATGACCTTCAATCATAGGAGGGGGGTGAGACAGGGAGACCCGCTTTTGCCCATGCTGTTCATCCTCGCCATGGACCCGCTGCAGCGCATACTGGATTTGGCAATACAACACTCCATCCTCTCCAATTTGCCTTTGGCCGCGGCAAGACGGAGAACTTCCATGTATGCTGATGATGCTGCAATATTTATTAACCCCCTCAAAGAGGACCTGGAAGCCATCACGACCATACTGCAAGAATTTGGCAAAGTTTCAGGCCTTCACATAAATTTGCAGAAGAGCTCGGTCCACCCAATCAGGTGCCAAGACATTGACCTTGATCATGTTCTTGCTTCCTTCGCAGGGAGAAGAGAATCTTTTCCATGCCGCTACTTGGGCCTGCAGCTACACACGAGATCATTGCAAAAGATCCACATACAACCCCTCATCGAGTGCATTGGTCAGCGACTGCCGGGATGGAAGGGGAAGATGCTCAGCAGAACAGGTAGGTTAACCTTAGTAACCACGGTCTTGTCTTCCATGCCTACCTATCACCTCACGGTCTTCCCGCTAGCCGTCTGGGCTAGGAAGAAGATCAATAAAATCAGAAGATCCTTCCTATGAAAAGGAGAGGAGAATGCCAGTGGGGGCCATTGTTTAGTGAATTGGCCAACCGTCTGTACGCCGAAGGACTTGGGTGGATTGGGAGTGCCCGATCTGGAAAGGTTTGGAAGAGCTTTGCGCTTAAGATGGCTTTGGCAAGAATGGGGAGATGACCCAAAACCTTGGGTGGGAACGGATTTGCCATGCAAAGACACAGATCGTCTCCTTTTCAATGCTTCCACCACGGTCACAATTGGCAATGGCAACAAAGCACGCTTCTGGCGCTACAATTGGCTTGACGGGGAGGCGCCCAGATATCTTGCGCCGCACCTATTCATGCTGGCGCACCATAAGAACAGATCGGTCCGTCAAGAACTAAGCAATGGTAACTGGATCAGATCGCTACGGACGAGAATCACATCAGCGGTACTACTCCAGGAGTTCGTTGGCCTATGGATCAGAATCCAAAGTGTTCAGCTACAGCCCGAGGTCCCTGACTCCATTACTTGGAAGTGGACAGCTGACAGAGTGTACTCCACTCGCTCAGCATACAGAGTGCAGTTTAGAGGTTCCCATCGAAAATTCCAACATGACCTCATTTGGAAGGCAAAAGCGGAGAATAAATGCAAAATTCATGCCTGGATCCTACTGCATGACAAAATCCTAACAGCAGACAATCTTCAGAAAAGGGGATGGCCGCACCAGGAACATCGTGCCCTTTGTAATGGTCCTCTGGAGAATGGGCTACACCTCTCACTGTTACGCCCCTTTGCACGTGCTGTTTGGGATCAAGTGCTGTCATGGGAGAATTTCTCTTTGTAGCTGCCTCAGCAAGACCCTTCCTCACTTGCCACCTGATGGGAGCATACGACAAACAAGGTGCCAAAACAAGAACGTAGACACTTCAATGGAGTTTTGAAAGGAAAGGAATAGGAGGATCTTTCAAAACGTGCACATGTCGGCGCAACAATTTGCCTCCATGATCAAAGATGACATAATGCAGAGACATTGGGCCATGTCAATGGGTGGGCAAACAATTTAGTGGAGTTTGGATTTTTCTTCTACTCTGGTCCAATGACCATGGGTTTTGGCATAGTGGTTGCCATGTGTACATGAACTTCTTTTCCTACTTAATTGAGCGGCAGAGCTCCTGCCTTTACCTTAAAAAAAACAAGTCGAGAACGTGGAGGATGACAGTTTTAGTGAACTAGGTTGGGTGCATCTTTATGCTGGGCTTAAAAAGACTTTTCGGTTCCAAACTTACGATGGCACCAAAACAAACTGGTTCATGGACGAGTACATCCCCATGAAGAGTTGGGGTTTTGACCTGTATATGGAGGTAAGGATCGTTCACATACTGCCACCAGAACCTTTCCTATACTTTGTTTTGTTATGAGTGTTTAGTAGTAAATACCCTTGTAAGTTAAGTGTTTTTTTATGCGAGGCTGTATAATAATTGCTTGGTTTATAAGGACGCACAAGTTCCAGGTACGCTGCTGAATGCATAGCTGATCCGGGACAGTACTAATCAGACTGTTTCCGAATTTCCTCTGCCTTCCTTCCAATATCATTTGGACTTATTGGAGACAATTTTGTATAGTGTAACCACCAATTATACATAAAGACTAACATGTCTACTTGATTTTATTTCCTATTCTATTCTATCTAGGTGAGCCTACATCTCCAGAGGAGAAAATCAAGAACAAAATTGCAGCTGCGAAGAAACACCGTATGCGGGGACCTGAGAACCTGGTCATCAAGGGAAAGGGAGAATCACCGGCCTGGCAGCACGTCATCAAGATATATGACAGGTATCCTGAACTAGATGGGTCTAAGGTGGTCTACGCAGTTTGCTGCCATTGCGAAGGGGTGCTCAAAGCCGGTGCCGATAATGGCACCAAGAGCCTGTTAACGCACTGCAACCGCACTTGCCCAATCAAGAACAAGAATCAGCAGCCAAGCCCAACCTAGAGATCTTTCTTTGGGCCTGTACAACTCTATTACGGAACTCGGAACGGTTACTGCTCCGTATGTGTATGTTCGGCGTTGAGGTTTTTTG